AAAGAAGAAATATACAAAATTATTTCTTCTCATTTTCCGAATGAGACGATAAAAAATATTCAATTACCATCAAAATTGGGTTGTGACAATATTATTTATTTAATTCAATTCTGTTCGGATACTATCGTTATTTTTCGTAGACCGTTAAAAATTGATCCATCAAAAGCTTCATCTGACTTTAAATTAAATTCTAATGACAATTCAATGCCCTATTATCCTATGCATCGAGTTGGACATCAAGCATGGGTACTTGAATCACTAAAAAATCAACGATTTTCACCAAAATTATTAGTATTGAATGCAGAAAAAAATTATTTAATCGAAAGTTATATATCAGGTATTTTCTACACATCTTAACTTCATATCTAATAATTATATAGTTAAATTTAGGTCAGACTTTGAACGAATGTTCACCTGAAATATGCAAAGAACTGGGTGAGTTTCTACACTCGTTACATTCAATCAAAATGAAACAATTTGGCTATATGAGTGAAGAGCCAGGCGTTGGTGTCTTTTTATCATGGTTGACAATGTTTGAAACAGAATTTAACAATCTAAACGAAAATCAGTATCAGTTGAAAGAAATATATTTATCTATAATACCTTATCTAACCGTATTTAGCAATCCAGTTCTTGTTCATGGTGATATTTCTTCAGAAAATATTCGTGTTCTAAACGGACATTTAAATGGTGTGATTGATTATGCTGATTGTCTGTGTGGTGATGGTTTATACGATATCGGACGATTTTTGCTGTTTGTTAAAGCGGAATGGAAATATGTTAATGCAATTGCACAGGGTTATAAGTTGTTGGATAATGAGAAATCGTGGACAAAAAATGAAAAACAACGTATTAGATTTTATGCATGTTACTTTGCTCTGTGGATGGAATCGGATAATGAAATTATAGAAAAATTGTTAATGCCAATTCCCGATTGAATAAGAATAAGTATTATTAAATAACACTTCTCAGACATAAATACTCAACATCAACCCATGGGTGTGGATGGATGTGGGGGTGGATGTGAGGGTGCGTGTGTGAGTGAGTGTGGGTGTGAGTATAAGCCAGGTACACTCACACCCACACCCCGATCACAGACAATTACGTACTTGAGAAAATATTTAATTATATTATTCACTGCAATTATCTCTTCATATACTGATAATAGATATCATGTACTATCTTATGATTTCGTGTTACAGACATGAGGTACCTATAAGTCAGCAAGTCTTGCTTAATTTTGAAGTATTAGTCTGGTCTATTCTGCCCATATCTTATTGGGCCAGGCTTAAGTTCTGTGTGTATGCAATGACATATTGATTGTCTTATAGTAAATTTGAAACAGAAGATGGCGTCCTAAATTGATATTTTCATTCACCGAACTTTTGTCACTTATAGTGTTGTTGAACAAACCGTTATAATAAAACAGAAAATGAATTTGATGAATAAACAAGAGAAAACATTAACTAGGATTGATTCATTTTAATAGAAATAAATAAGAAAAAATGCTAACATTCAGTTGACAGACGAAATTCTGGTCGTTCTTTTTGCTACTTCGCTGTGAACAACAATTTTAATTGATTATGTCAAATAGGTTTGACACAATAACAAATATCTTTGATAATTTATCTCTTTCTTTTAATTGGCTATGTTGCACCAGAGCTTGTTACTCTATTACCTATGTAGAAATAGAGAGAATTTTGAATGATTTCTATTGGCGAATTATGATTACATCAGATTTCTTTATTAAATTAATTTTGAAGAATAAAAAACTCAACTTTTCATTATACATCTGTTATAAGTTCTATTCAAATTTTTTACTTAAGTTTGAAGAATATAAACACGATCGTTAAGATAAAAAAGATTGAAATTAAGTTGCCATGGAAATTGACATTTATTCATATCAATTGCAAGCGTGTGTACACTACGTGTTCGTTCATTGGTTAGTTGTATGCTTCGATAATCGCAATCGATGAACAATTCTACTATATCATTCTTTTCTATATCACCTTTGTAGCCATTAAAGCCAGGTTGGTGAGCCCCACTGATACAGACTCGATTATCTCCAGACCAACCGTAGCTCGATTGATTGCCCAAAGGTTTCTTTTGACGACTTTGGTAGCGAAACCTTCGGAATAAATGAAATAATACTACTATCTTCTTGTATAATGTTAATATTTGGTATTTGAGCAAAATCTTTTTTCAATTTGTTAAGTTTTCCCATCCATTGTTGTAAATCTGTATCATAAAAATCATCATCTTCACGAGCTTTACGTAATTCTAATGCAATTTTAGTTAAAGATTCAGTCAATTCAGTGGTATGCTCATTAATCAGATGTTTTATTTGTTGTCGAGCATCATTAGCTACACGATGAATTTTATTAATAGACTCTTGTTTCCATTCATCAATCTGTTTTATATAAGAATGATATTGTGGTTGTTGTGCATGTTCAGTTAGTCTTTGTCGAAATTGATCATGATCCAGAGTTAAATCATCCAATTGTCTGCTCAATTCTTGTTGATGTTCAGCAACATGTCGTTTACAAAAATCTTTTTGACATCCTCGACATGTAAAATATCCGAATACTTTACCACATATTGCACATAGTGTTTTTTGTGTTGTAAGAAACAAACTGAAGAAATTAAAAAAAAAATTCATGTAGAATAACACATGTGTGTGAAATATTTTTTTTTGTTAACGGAAGAAAGGAAAAAGCATGATGTTTTTATTCAATATAAAAAAACAAAATCTTGTATACTTTGTCGTGTTGTTTTCTTCTTGTGTTATTATTGATAATCAGTGATGAACAATAAACAAGAGATTATAACAACAATCTATTTGCAGCAGTTTCTGCATTTTTTTTACAAGAATTTCATATGATAACGCTAACACACAGGAAATGATGATAATGCCTCACAGACTTTTACTATTTTGAGGGTATATTTCGGTTCTAGTAATACTGTTTTTCATCAAAAAAAAAATTAGATTCTTATAAAAACGAGGATTGAATCATAAGAATTAATTCAACTCGGACAAATATCTATTCGATATTCATTTATATGTATTTTTACATATAAATTCATTTCACTGTATACAAAAATCATTCTAAAATTGTTTTTCGGTTACTGAATTAATGAAATTTTCTGTAAAGCAACTTTAAAAATTTATATTATTATGCCCATTGAGAAAAGATTTTTCAGTTCAAGATTCAACTTCTAATTTATTTGAAGAACAATAATTAAATATTGATAAACCCATGTAGTTAAAATTCAAATCGTTGCAGAAAGAATTTCACAGTCGTAAAAAATGAAAATTTTTATTTACACAATAGTTTCAAAAGTTACTTATATAATAAAGAGTAGGTAATCATAAGATACTAAATTCTATTTGTTTGAATCAAATTACCGAACGTTCATTGGTAGATGAA